TTGATGTAGTCAGTCAGGGAACATGTCCTCTTTTTTGCTTTTCAGAATAGGGTAACCCTACTTAAGTAGATTTCCCTTCTCAAACCTAGGATTGACAGCAATCTGGAGGAAAAGAAAAACACAACCTCCTTAACGGAGGCTTAATGTGTGGAAATGACCAGTTGAAACTTTTCATGGCATGGAGGCAGATAACATCCCATTAAACTTCCATTAAAGAAGCCGGATGCTTTTTTGTCCAGGGTGCTGGCAGCTCTAGTTATGCTGGTTGCAAATCAGAGGAGGAAAGAAAAAATATACCTAAAGGACAATACAGATATGGTCTCCTGACATGAGACTGTTTGCAAATGGTGACACCTAGTGGCAGAACACAGCATTAGCCCTCTCATGATTAAAGAGAGGTCCCAGAACAGAAAAATTGGCTCTCTTCTCACAGTTATAAAGCCAGAAAGCCCTCTTCCATCCTATGATCAAACCACTGAATGCAACAGAAGTCAAAGCATCTTCTTAAATGGAGCTATTCAAAATTATTAGGTGGAGCTAGAATGGTCCTCAAGGTTTAAATATATGTATATATATTCATATAGAATTTACAAAAGGAAATCCAATACAATTGTATCATGGATGATATAAGTTCATTGTGGTACAGAGCAAAAATTTACAAAAAAAAAAAAGCCTTGCTGGATTTGACAATGGGTCCATGTAGTCCCGCATCCTGTTTCCCACAGTGGCTATATATGAAAGCAATAGCCCCCCCATCCCACTAACGGTTATTCAGAGAGGTATACTGCCTCTGAACATGGAAGCTCTTTTTAGCCATTCCAGGTAAGCAGTTGATAAAACTACCCTCCATTATTTTTTTAGTCCTTTTAAAAGGCCATCTAAACTGGTAACCAGCACAATAATTTATTTACTTCCAGAGGTCATTTCGGGGGGGAACGCGGGGGAACGCAGTTCCCCCGGGTGAGGTGCAGGGAGGCGGGGCACATGACGAAGCCCCGTCCCCTGCTTCTGGCCGCCCCGCTTCCAGCTCTCATTCAGCCAGGAGGAGGCAGGAGAAGAAGGAGGGTAAGTTGCTTCCTCCCCGCCTCTCCCCACCCCTGCCTGCCTGGGGCCAGGGAGGGCCTTGGCGGGGCTTCCACGCACTCCCGCTGGCCTTGCAGGTCCACCGCCAGGCCCCTGATGTCAGGGGGTGTGGCATATGCTAATGTTATGCTAATGAGTTCCCCTAGCTCTTTTTCTACGAAATGACTCGTTTCATTTATACCAGAACTTTCTTCCCAATGGAAACCCAAGGCAGTTTACATCTTTGTGCTCTTCTCCATTTTATCCTCACAACAACTCTGCGAGTTAGGCTGAGTGTGTGACTGGCCCAATGCCACCCAGCAAGCTCCTATGGCATGAGTGGGGACTGGAAACTGGGTGACCCAGATCCTAGTCTGGCACTGTAACTACTATATCCTCTTTTTACAGCTTGAAGTGTATGAAAATAAAGTTGTACTTACCTGTAACTATTGTTCATTGAGCGCCCCCTGGAGGCTTCTATCTGTAAAGACCTATCCAATGGCAGGCTTGCTCATGTGTGCACAGTCCTCACACGAGACTGCACAGAAGATCAATGATGAACAGGAAGTTTCTGTTGTTGTTGCTCACCTTCTACCTATATGTATAGACTGCTAACTTCTATTTCATTGTATCTGAAGAAGTGAGAATGCACACAAAAGCTTATACCTTGAATAAAATTTTGTGGGTCTTAAAGGTGTTACTGGGCTCACATTTTGTTAGGGACGTTTCAAGAGGCTAACATCTCCCTCTGCTGGTCAGAGCTAAAACTACACCCTAAGAGCCCAAATCCTTGTTATTTCTTTTTATTTATTTATACTTTCAATTTCTATACCGCTCAAACCCGGAGGCTCTGAGCGGTTTACAAGCATTTTACATTTCCTAACTAGGGCCACATACAATGTATATAGATAGGAGGTGAGTGCCTACCAGGCACCCTGCCGGCGTGTGTGTTTCTTTTTTCCTTCTGCAGCTTCCTTATGGTGGAATCCTGTCTCGGCGGGCTCCGCCACGGCTCCTTCCGGGGGAGCTCCCATAGGCTGTGTTAAATCGCCGCCATGTTCTTTCATCGGATCGCTCCGCCGCTGTTGCTGTCGTTGCCGCCGCCGGCACCACTGCTCCACTCCTCCTCACAGCCACAACACCAGAAGGCGGGTGCCCCCCTGCACCTAAGGCAGGTACCCATTTATCTACTTGCAAAGCTTTCGAACCGCTGGGTAGGCGGGAGCTAGGACAGGGGCCGGGAGCTCATCCCGGCCGCAGTGGGACTCGAACAGCCTTAAGGCTGTTCATGGATGGATTACCTGCAGGCTCCTTTACCCACAGGGAAGGAAATTTAATCTTAATTGACTGAGAAAAGAACTTGGCAACTGCCAAGGCAATATTAAAATCCACCCCTGCTAAAAGAAACCACAAATTATCCAGTTCACACCTAGAGTCCTTGATAGAGGGTTTTATCCAACTATCTCTTGCATTGTTAAGCAAATCACAGTTGAATAGACAATGCTGATTGGCCAGAACCACATTGGCACCATCACTCAGAATAAGGCACCTTATTTAAGTGTGTCCCGATAGCTCCCCTGACGGAATAGCATTCAATCTGGCCAGCATAAATAATTGTCTATAGCATGGAACTGTCAGGAAATCAAAACAGGATGGAAGAGATTGTGGTAATGTTAAACCTAAATATAAAGGTGAGCACACTCTGCATGCTATTATCAAGGGAATAAAGACTATTACCAAAGTCAAGAAAATGTATTTGAATAGCCGTAAAAATGGGGAAAATACCCTACTGGTACACTATACACCTGTTTTCAATAGATTAGGGAATCAATTCCCTTTGGGAATTAGGTAGGGAATCAATATACCTAATTCTCAAACTGGCCAAATCTGTGGATACTTAAATCCAGAGCTGCAGTGGAGGGAAAGAATTCTAGAAGGGCATTTGCCCTAGCTAGATGTTCTGCCCTTCCATCTGTGGTTGCTCAAGGCAGGTACAATAATACCCCCTACTCTGAAAGGCTATGCCCATGCCCCTCAAGAGAGGTCGAATCAGTAGAGCATATGTTCTTCAGCTGCCCATTTTACAGGGAGGCTCGTTTTAAAATTATTACCCCATTCGTTGATAGGACACCTGGTCACATTAATACAAACAAAGCAAGGCTTCACTGGCTCCTATCAGATAAGAATACAGAAATTACATGTTCAGTTGCTGAGTTCTGTGCATTTTAAAAGTTCTTAAATTCAGATTTGTATTTTGTATATTATGACTGTTTTATGTTTACTCTGTAAGTTGGTCTCAAGACCGCAATAATAAACTAAACTAATCCAGAGCTGGAGCTGTGGACAGACAAGACACATTTTTCTACAAACCTGAAAAATGCCTCAGGATTATGGAAAAATGGAAGGATGGATGGAAGGAAGGAAGGAAGGAAGGAAGGAAGGAAGGAAGGGATTTATACCCCACCCTTCACTCAGGAGTCTCAGAGGGGCTTACAAACTCCTTTCCCTTCACCTCCCCACAACAGACACCCTGTGAGGCAGGTGGGGCTGA